CGCGTACCTCAAGCAGCAAGTCCGCGATCTCAAGGACGCCAAGGCGGCCACCGACCACGAGGTTGCGCTTCCCACGCCCCCAGAATATCTCATCGCAGTGCATGGGTAGCTCCACGAGACGCGGGAAGAGCTCGCAAGCGCCCTCGAGCTGCACTCGCGCATGCAAGCCGACAACCAGCGCCAACTCGACGACCTCCGGCACACACTGGACGCGCTCGAGAATGAACGGACGACGGCGTCGGTCGAGGTGCGACGTCTCACGACGCGCACAACGCAACTCGAGGCCGAGATCGACACCGTCACTGAAAAGGTATGGACCGCGTCCCGACGATGATGGAGCCAAAGAACCAAGTAGATGGGGGTGGAAACCCAGGAAAAGCATGCGCTGGCCGCGTCGTTGGAAGCGCTTGCGAGCGTCAACGAAGAGGTGACGGCCGCCAAGGTCCAAGAAGCCACCGCGCAGTTGGCCATGGAAATCTCTGGCCTGCACGCCGAGCTCCACGTGCTCTCGGACGACAACGAACGGCTCCAAGCCGAGGTAGCGTACTCCCACGACTTGTGATGATACAACATGTGGCTAGCTGCGCGTCGAGGTGCAGCGCAACAGCGTCGCGAGCGAAGTGAACGCGCTCAAGACGCAGATCCTCGACATGAAGCAAGAAACCAAGCATCTGCAATATGAGGTTGATCTCTTCCACGTCGCGACATGTTGGCAAGCGTGATGTTGTCTAGCTCGCTGAGAAAACAGCTGAACTCGACCGCGCCGTGTCGGAGGCCGGCGAGTCGGCACTGCGTGTGGCCCTGAACGAACGGACCCTCGAGTGCTCTGCGCTGACCGCTCATGTTGCTATCCTCTCGTGTGATTTCCATGTCGTAATACTTCACGTCGTGGGTAGGTGGCAACCCTCATGAAGGAGCTCGAGGACGCTAGTCGACCGCAAGCGGCCGTCGATGCTCCGACAGATGACCGCGTCGCGTGTCTCGAAGCCGAGGTTGTTGACGCTGCTTTCAAACGGGCATCTCATGCCAGTGTTATTGACGTACTAGTTGTCGAGCTGCCAGGCCGAGTTGCAGGCGCTTCAAGAAAAGCATGTAAATGCACTCATGAAGGGCCGCGCATTGTCGTCCAACTCGGACGACGATTCGGACGACGACGACGGCGACACTACGGGCAGTCGGTCGTCGGTCGTGCAAGTCGACTCGAGCACCGACGTCACGGCCACGCACGAGCGGCGGTCTGCTCCTGCAAGCGACGACGAGCTCGCCGAGGTGCGACGTGAGGTACCCTCTTACTTCCCACAAAAAGATGTTTGTATCAACGCCTCTAGTTGGCGGTGTCCCGTCTCGAGATCCAAGAACTGCAACAGGAGCTGGAGATTGTGCGCGCGTCAACCACAACATCGCCACAAGTCGACGCCCTCGAGGTCGAGCTGCAAGCGTCGAACGATATGGTGAACCATGAACGAGACGCCGTGATCTCATGTGAATGACGTGGACATTAGCTGGCCGTCAAGGTAGAACGCATAGCCGCACTCGAGGCGACGGTAGCAGCAGCCGAAGCGGCCAAAGCCCAGGTACAGCGCCACCTGCTGTCGGGCACGTCTCAGTCGCTTCCAGGCGGTCAATGGCACGTCGCTTCGACTTCGAATTGCCGAGCTAGAAGACGAGCTGCAGGCGACAAAGACATCGGTGCGCCGCCAGGTCGACTCGCGTGGATCATATTCATTCACCTGTCCTTAGCTCGCGGCAGCCCTCGACGCCGTGCATGACGGGGACTCGGACGACGATGCGACGTCGCTCCTTGAAACTGAGTTGACGGCGGCCAAAACAACGGTACGACACCGCTGTTCAAGGGCATTCAACAAGATATACCTAGCTGGCAACCGTGACCGCCGAGCTGGACGCAGCCAAAGCCACCAACGATGCGCTAAACGTCAAGCTCCACCAGTCGTCGGTCGTCTCGGCGGACGAGTGGCACCAGCTCAAGGCTGAGAATGAATTCTACCAGACCGAGCTCATTGCCACCAAGCTCAAGCTCGCG